TAATTACCACGTAGATATCTGAGCCAGCCATGTATTAATTAGTCTAATGGTTTTCCGTTCTGCCAGATGTGAACTACATCCGGGCCGCCACTGCACTATAAGTCTGAAACAACCCATTAAATATTCCAGCAGGCTGTATTGGAATATTCCATCGTTTACCCTGCATTTGTATCCTTCGTTTGATCTCCCCTACACTAGGGCACTTCCCAGATATTGTGGGACAATTTGGCTAGAAACGATGATCTGTTGTCTTCTGGATCGCTCAGTTCGCAACGGCACTAACATCCGGATTTCCCTAGTGAATTATTTTATGACGATCTTGTGAAGGCGGATAAACTACCTCGTCATTCCTGTTAGTTGTGGAATAAGATCGCTGTCGCGCTCAAAATTTGTCCGGTTAGATTTCTCCACTTTTGCAATCCCGAATCAAGTAGCTCGGTTGAAACTAGCGATAGAAGATGCTAAACTTGCATGTACCCAGATTTTCATACTTGCAAGTGGGCAATTCTCTCGAACTCTAATTTCAGACCCAATGTGATAGTTTACTCATGATCATTGACAATATAATATCGGTGTTTGCTGCCGTTAACATTCTACTGGTTCACTACTAGGCGCAGTTGCGCTAAACGTGTAGCCTTCTGGACTGTTCATCAGGTTGACTTTCGTGGGCACAGCCAGAATATAGAGATGTTCTCTCTACAATTTATCAGCTCTAAACCGTGTACCATAGGCACTGTGGTTCCAGCTGCTACAGTTGCAATCACCGGAAGACGGGAGAGTGTGATACCCACAGACAAGGTTTGGAAGTGATAACATATTCAGTTTGTTCAGAAATCGGATATCTACACATTGAAGGCACGAGCGCCACTGATTGCGCAATTGGGCCATTTCTGCCGGTGTCATGAGTCATTGGTGAGTTGGGTTCCGGGAACCCCATCCGGGGAGGTGGCAATTGTCGATCCTGCTAATTTTACTGGTTAGTGTTTTCATACTTCGTTTCCAGGTCATACATTGTCCACCTCTCGGTTTCTTCCTCTCAGCACAGAGCTGAAGGAAAAGAACTCTGCGATGCAAACTGTCCCCTTGCATGCAGACTACATGTCCCAACCAGCGTAGCCTATGAAGCGTGAGCAATAAATCTATCGCGGAAGACCATTTAGCGTATCTCAGCACCAACAAGCCGATATTCCCACCAGACCTAATAAATGCTTCGGAAACACCGATGATCAAACACTATCATCTTCCGTGTGTCCTCCGCGCGTAGAGACCACGTCTCTGATCCACAAAGCAGTATGGATCGCACCACTGCAGTGTAGACTCTTCTCTTGACAGACAAGTTCACGTGACGTCGGCGCCATAGGTGTCGGAGGCTGGCAAAAGCTGCCCTGGCCTTTATGATTCGAGAAATGATCTCACCTCCAGCCAGTCCACCGGGACTTATTCAGTTGCCCAGGTGAACAAATTTATCTACTGGCTCACCTGCAAGCATGAGGTGTGGGTTTGATCCCACCCAGTCTTGTAGCAGCACATTAGAATTTGCAGGTGTGAAGCGCATGCCAAACCATGTGGCAGAGTTATTTAGATTATGTGAAATCGCTCGCTTTTGAGGAGGATCTGAACCCAGGAGAGCAATATCTTCCGCATACTCAATGTTTGTGAGGGAACATTTCAATTTTCAAGGTTTCCTAGGCAGGCAGAGAAATTTCGAACGGCATATCAGTAACAAAGTTGAAGAGGAAAGGGGAAAGAGGACAACAGCCTTGTCTTACACTGCTGGATGTGGTGAACTCAGCTTGCCGAACACTGGTACGTGTCCACAGAAGTTTGCATGGAGTGTCTTTATAAGTGTACAGGACTCTTTGCTAGTCTATGTCGGTCTCAACCATGTCTAAGGTCAAAAGCTCCAGTTTCTGTTTGTCTTTCACACTATTCTACTTATACACTGTAATTCTGCATGCTAAACACGGCTCACACTACTTCAGTGCATCGTCACTATCGGTGACCTCCGTACCAGCTCGAGTTTTTCTACCAGAGCTCAGTCCAGGCATCGTGTCCCCAGTTTCCATTTGAGGCTAATTCATTCATCAATAACCGATAGGTGCGCAATCACGAGAGGTGTGAACACAATTGAGTGCTCGGGTGTGATTGCTCACGCAATGTGTTCGTTATCAGGTGAACTAATTCACATGGATACTTCACAGTTGGCAATGTTAGCGTGATGATCTTACTCGTGAGTCTCTTAACAGTCCAGAAGAGTCTAACAACGGGAGCAGGCAGTTTGATTGTTTGATCATTGTAACTCTCTCCAAAGAATCCTGAGCGAATATCGCAAGAATGCGAAAAGAAAGGCGAACAGGCTGAATCAAGCGGCTGTTTTTTTCCGGTATAAATTGATTACCATTAATTCCTGTCTCTAATGCCTCTCGGTCCCCGGATCATCGTTTTTTCCCAAACGAACTTCTTGTTTTGCTTCACAAAATTAGAGACTGCTTCGTTCGGCTGACTCTGGATCGTTATATTCTATTTTCCGATATCTTCGTCCCACTTATTGGCTCATTTCAGTAATTTTTAAACTAATTTTTCTATTCCCATCTTAACGTCGAAGACCTGTTTTCTGGCGGATGCAGACCGTGATCTTGGCCAACTTGGTGTCGAATTTAATAAAGCCTATTCACTAATCCTATCAGTGCTATAGAGTTGGCAAAACGGTCAGCTAATCTTAATGTGAACTCCACTCAACGTCAGGAAGGGTCTATTCAGCACTCGCTTTACTAATTCTCCTAGCTTTGATTCTCTTAAACGAAAAGTGACCTCTGTTAACAGGTCACACCCAGAAAATCCCTCACTGGTTTGTCAGACGAGACCAGTTATTGTTCATTAAGCTGCGAAACACTATTACGATAACCTTCAACGCTTCTGACTAGCATTACACAGTTTTAGATCATTCGCTCCCTGTTTTTCCAAGTGTACCTGTTATACCTGCTGATTCGCCAATCTGTGATATCTGCTGATGACCCGCTCCAGTGCCCCGTAACTGAAAAAAAGACTCACAGAAGGGAACACAGCAGCTATATTCCGAGCAACCGAGTGCGAGAGCAAAAGTTACACCGACCCCACGCTATTTAATGGGGACTTTCTGACATTGATCCAGGCTGTCTGATAGGCGTTAGTGAACACTCATCAACATCGATCGTGCCTCTATGAAGTGCCTGAACGCTGATCACATTCCGTCGTGCTTCTGTGGCGTGTAAGAACACTCATCAGCTTTTGCTGAATTGATTGAATGATTGATTGGCCGGCTTTCCCGCTGAGTTTTTGGTGGAGCAGTAGGTTCCACGCGTTCTGAGGTTACTTTCAGGAATCTGACCTTCCTGATAGTACCATAGGTGATCTTACGACTATGTACCGGAAACCTTCAGCGCCCGTTTGTGCCCAACTGTGGACCAATAGATTCATCATTAGTGTTATTGTACCGCTGACTCTGGCCATCCAGTCGATACAGAAAGTCTCTTAATTGGTTCAAACAAGTTCACTCGCATGCATTGGGCTGAAGTGATTCCACACAGTCACGCACAGATGTTGAATACATATCAGCTGTTGACAATAAAAGTACACCGCCAAACTGCCTTACGGTCAAAACAAGCGAAGGCGGTACTGTGGACGCAGTATCTTTCCACGGCTGATCAGCATCATCGACAGGATAAAGTGCTCATTCTTCATGTCATAGCGGCCAGACCGAGTAGGCGGGGGACGATTAGCCTCTGGCTGAAAACGACTATGTACCGGAAACCTTCAGCGCCCGTTTGTGCCCAACTGTGGACCAATAGATTCATCATTAGTGTTATTGTACCGCTGACTCTGGCCATCCAGTCGATACAGAAAGTCTCTTAATTGGTTCAAACAAGTTCACTCGCATGCATTGGACTGAAATGATTCCACACAGTCACGCACAGTTTTTGAATACATATCAACTGTTGACAATAAAAGTACACCGCCAAACTGTCTTACGGTCAAAACAAGCGTAGGCGGTACTGTGGACGCAGTATCTTTCCACGGCTGATCAGCATCATCGACAGGATAAAGTGCTCATTCTTCATGTCATAGCGGCCAGACCGAGTAGGCGGGGGACGATTAGCCTCTGGCTGAAAATCCTGACCGTAAGGCACTGGCGTTCAGCGGTGGCACACATGTTCTGACCCGGAGGGTCAGACCCCTGGACAACCTGTTATGAGAGACTATGCGAGTGTCGCACAAACACCCCCACGTCTAGCACAATAACTCACGGAGGCGCACAAACCTTCACATGACGCCTTCGTGACGCGTAGATGACGCTGTGTTAAACAAGGAGCTGAAAACTTTAGGTCAGGTCTGACATCTTATCAACCACAAAAGATCAGTCGGTCGATACTTTGTTTTTAATCATTTCAGGACCATCATGGTTCGCCGCTATCTGATCATGACCAAAACCATATTTGGCGTAAAAAACGCGGAATTATGAGCGGTTGGATTGCAATCAAACCGCACAGGTCGAAAGCTATCGTGAGCCCTTTTCTCGGTAGTACACCAGGAGGTTAGGGGCATAAGACCAAACAGAACAGGAGTAAGGACAAGCGGAAAAAATACTGTTGAGTCCAGCTAATCAAACGGCCAGTGTACTCCAATTGTCCAAGCGTGTCAAGAACTTACATGTTCCGCTCCTCGAAGAGGATTCTGTATTGAACTGCAGGCTACTGACGATAGAGGCTGCAGTGGATAGTGATCCCTATCACCCGAGAAGTGCGGATAGGAGGAGGTGATACAGAGTTGTGGGAAAAAGGTCCCATCCGCCCGGTTCTCATGGTGTGGCATGCCACTGACATGACTGAAGCGTCTGACATAGGTTGGTGACTTTCCTTAATTGTTTTGTCCGCTCTCTTTATAGTACGTAGAGGAAAGTGCCTAAGGTCATGTCAGACTTTTGCCCCCCATGATGGATCATCTCACTTTCTTTCCCATTTAAGCTCTATGGAGCGGACAATTCCGTCAGTCGGGCGGTCATTTGTTCTGTCCATTTTGGCCATCACGCTGATAACCTACGTCGACAGTTTGCCTTCTGACCCAAACGATACCTTACGCTGTGCACTGCTTGAAGCCGGCTACTCGAACTGGTCTCAAGCGGAGCGCGTAGTAGCAACTCAGGTGCCCTCCTACTCCCAGTTCCTCCGGCAAACTTGGGTCGCCACGAAGCAGTTCGGTGGTCAGTGGAACTGTTCTAGCAACGTGTCGGTTCTGGCCCCTTTTGAAAATCCCTTCAGCCGAAATAATTGCTACTTCTTTATTGTCGCAATTCTCGGCGCGTGTCTACTCACACGCCTCAGATGTGGAATCAGTCCGATCATACTGGTGAGTTCAACATTCGTACGCACTCTTCATTGCAATCGAGTTGATTCGTTCCCATTGACGTGTTTTGGCTTAGTGCCTTATGCAGAAATAAAATCTTCCATTTTTTAGTGAGACGGCTGTTATGCCCTTCAAAATACCTCAGAGGGAAAACCACATCAAGGTGAATTCTTCTGATGAGCAAAAGATTCCGAAGAGCCAGTGTCCCTAGGTAAACTTAACGTTGGAAGTGGGCATAGCTGTGCCCGATGGACTTTGATCAAGAGGTATTAAACATGGAATTCATCTTTTAAAACTAAACTAATTAACAATATAAAAAGTCCAATACGTTAATCTCTTCCGTCCAAGAGGAGATATTCGTCAACGAAAAGAAAGTTTAGTGGCATGGATTTTATCCCAAGGGGAAAAATCTGCCACGGATGTGGAACGTTTTCTGGTGCGACAAACAGCTGATTTACGGAGGAATCGTATTTCATGAACCCAGATTTATCAGTTGATCGTCATGGATAATACCATAAACCCCGCGGACACCCCGTCCGGCCTGCGAACGAGTTCAACCTGGAATACACTCGTAACATCGTCAGAGAATGGTTAAAGCATGTAGCTATGAGATGAGGCGACAAATCAGTGACCATTGTTCGTCGGGCTCCTAATAGCTAACTGTGTTGCCGAAAGGAAACGGCGCAAAAGTTTGATGAAAGATCTTTGATAGCCCACGACTGGTTTCGTCCTTCTTGCTCTCATCAGGTTGGCTCAGTCTCCGAGATTCCGAAATCGTCCAGCTGTAGCACCCTTCCGGTGCCTAGCTGCCATGCCATCAGAAGGAAGCACGAGGGCTGGGATACTTCCAGGTTGCCCAAGCCTAGATAGGGGTAGTCGAGTGGTAGAGGTCGGTTTTGAACCACGTACGAATTTCGTGAACTAAACCCGCACCAATCTAGTTTTTATGGGGAGACTCAACTGAGTCCCAATCGAATCTCTGAAATGAATGTGCTACACATAGGCTGCCCCAAGTTTCAGTTTGTATGATACTGGAAATATCGCATAAAGTACTTTTAAAACCGTTGGATGCAACTGGAACCTCATTGTCTGGTGCACGAGACAAGTAATGTTAATTCATCCAAAGCACATTGGGTGAATTTTCCCTTTTGAATTTTTCTCACGCCTTTCTTTGCTTTCAGAATGTCCCCCTGAGCACTGACATTCTATCATACACTCGGAATTCGTCTGACCGAGTTCCTCGCCCATTCTAACTTGACTTATCTTCTACCAACAGCAGCGTTATTCCAACTAAGAGAGTGTCGCATACTTTTATCGATTGTCCCAAATTATTCCGTAACGCACGATCTGTTGGTCCCTCTCATCTTCGTCTGTAATAGGTTTGACAGACGGGAGGGTCCAACTAAATTAACCTTACGAATTCGCCCAACACAGGTCGACGTAATTAACAAAATCAGCAGAACTGGTTTCTGCTTGGAAAGATCTATCTAGATGGTCCGTTCACATTTCACTCAAACTATGTAGTGTGATGTGTACACTGAGCACTCCAACTGTCACAGACTCCCGAATAGTGTTTGCAATGAAGTGAAGTGGGAATACACAACTCTGGGCTGCAGACGACAATTATGGGTTTAAAGAGGGAACCGAAAAATTCATATCATTCATCACCGCAGTTAAATCATGGTAGTGATTGGTACCATTCAAGACGTGTGAAGGGTTATACTCATTTGGTTTCAGGCAAATTAAGTCAAATGACTCAAACAGGGTAAGTAGAGTTCACAAATAAGCCAGATGTGTCAACTCCATCTGTACCGTGCAACTCGACCCCTGTCATCATCATCATCATCATCATCATTGACAGCATGACATCAGTGTTCAACACCGATGCTTCACTGCCGTACAACCATGACTTATTTGAAAGCCTTATTGTAAAGAAAAGAATAAAGGTGGATGGGGGAGGGACTTAGTGCTAGCTTAACACAATCATTCCGAGGTGCCTACACCTCCAGACATTCACTCAGGCAATCTGGATAGAAACTAACAACAAGAACGCCACTGACATCGATTGGCAGTCATATCTTCTAGTGTCTCCAACCAGGCACAGTGAGGATCACGCGGTCCCCATCCTGGAAGGCGAGTAGCACCGACAGCACCCAACCGTTTCGTGATCTCCTTCATACTCCTCTGCCAAGTCAAGCGTTGGCCACCTCTCTGTTTACGCCACTCTGAATTGGGCATGGAAAACAGCACTATCTTCGGCAAATGATGGTTCGGCATAGGCAACACATGTCCCACCCATCGCAGCTTCTGGTGCTGGACACATTCTTCAATGGAAGTACCCGTCGCACAACCGAGAACACGCCTATCTCAGTCTCTCGTCGTGCCTAGTGCGGGTAATCTGGTCCCACTGTGGCCTCAGTTCGGAGGAAGTAGGCTGTGTTTCTAGGAATGAAGCAAGCCGATAAGACACCTCGCACTAGCAGACAATGTCGTTGGGTCACACTGGCGTTCTGTCAGAAAAGAGGTCACTGTATATCTGTCATAAAGATGTACTAAGTAGAGCTATAGATTACCGTTTTCCCTTTAAGCCAGTTTTCTATGGAATGGTGCCTGTATGCACGGGTGAAAACAGCGCTTATTTCAATGTTGTATTGATGTGCATATGGAAGGAATTAAATCTCGAGACAATCAACGTTAATTACTTGTCTCCCTAGTGAGCGATGTCTTTTTCAGAACCCTACTGTTTTCCCGTGCTTAGCGTGTTTCGTGCTCCCGCCCACGCCTCAACTTCCATCCGCTACCGGTTCAGCGGACTCCTGGGAGGCAGTCCCTGGTTTTCGATCCATGAAATAGTTGATCTTGACAGACGGACAGGAAAAGCACCACGTGCCCACACATCGGTCGGATTGGATATCGTTTTTTTGCTAACCTTGAAAAAAAATCGCGCCATGTGGCGCGTGCGGACAACCCGACCAAATTTATGTTTGTCTCGGCATGTAAACATTTGGCGGACGATCGACCCTTTCTAGACACGTAAGTAAAGATTCGCTAAAACGGATGGAAGAAAGTAAACTTTGCGTTCACATGGTCGCACTATTAGAGCATTTCTGGATCAGGAATCAACGTTACTTCAATTCGTGGAGTGATGAAATAGAAAGTGCTGTTTGGCTTCACCGATTGGTTGGTGCTTCTCCGCCGCAAAGGGACTGGATCTTATCGTGGTTTCGTGGTTTGTGTACTTCCGTCACTCATTGAGTTGAACTGGGATGTCACTTGGACATCTACAGGGTTCCTCATTTGAAGTTGGTCAATGGACTAACAAAGAAGTCTTCTGGCCATCCAGGCTGGGGGTCCACTTGTTCCACATCATGTGTCGGTACACGCCGACACCCACCCGCTGAATTGCGGTCAGAGTTTGAGCCAGAGGCTTTGGTTGAAGGATCTCCGGTCTGGGCGCAGGTCTTCCAACCGTATTCCAGTCCACGTACAACCATGAAATTCACAAAATATATTGTCATGCTTCATTGGCCGTAGCGCGTTGTCATCAGCAGGATCGCCTTTCTTGCTGCATAAGCAGGACGGGTAATGTTAAAGATAGGTTACCAGTGACGCTTCCCAACACGAGCTCATACCTTGGTTAGCTATGCCTTGAGCCGCCGTATTTGCTCGTCCGTCTTTGGAAACAGTCCTGAGCAAGAGAACAATTTTCAAACATCGAAAGCCAGTTTACTTAGCTGCTCCTAATGTTCGCACTGCGAAGCAAACACGACAACAAGCAGCCGTCGCACTGGACTCCCCCGGATTGATAAAAGTTGTTCGCCAGAAATAAGAATTCCAAACGGAATTGCTATAGTCGGGTTAACTGCGCCGCTGTCTTACGTTTCCGGATTCCGGCTGCGCTGCTCTGGTAATCCGGATGCCGCTACAGTTGAACTGGGATGGGCCTTCCGTCACGAACAGACTCGAACTTACCGTAGTGTGACGGTTTTCGCACCTTCGTTGAGCTGCGCGCCATTGTAGCTCCAGCATAATAAAAGACAAGTTGAATGCCCTTTTGCAGCGAGCTGGAAGCTCAGTTTTCGTTGCAATTGTCGGAAGTCTGAATGCACGAGTGCGCAAGCTTGGCGCATCTCAGACTTAATTAGGCGGTCGACCTGGATTGGACTCGGTGCGTACGGACAATTGTAAACGACTGCTTCAGCTCTCTGCTGACTGCGAGCTGTTTCCGATACAACGGAAAATATCTGGCTATATGCTGACCTTCAACAGCGTACCAGACACGAACTCAGATTGATCAAATCGCCATCACTTACGGATGAATAACTGTCTGTCACTCGTTTTGAAAAATAAATGTGGATTCCAACAATGAGCTCACAGCGCTTAGACTTTTGTTTTCCAAGTGCGTATGCAGTGCGGACAAATCACCTAGCAACTAGGACACTGGCAGATCCAGATATTAGATGAATTCACCAAAATCGTCTTCTAGACTCTGTTCCAACTGCTCCATCACCAGCTGTGAACTCATTGAAGAACGAGATCGCCACCTCTTTGCACAGTGCTGGGAGTTTTGCTTGTGGCTACCAGGCCCACACAAGTACTGGATGTCAAACAGAACGGTGGCATGGCTCGGGTCTCGGAAAAATATCCCGCTGACCACGTGCATAGTTTGCTCTAACGAGTCATCAGACAGCAACTGTAAGTGACTGTGCGTGCCGACCGTGAAGCCTGGTTGATATGAAAAGCTAAAGAGGCCCAGAGATCAGGGAGTGCCTGAAGATTGTTTCAGGTGACCGTTTGACCGGCACCCGGAAGCCGCCTGTGAGCGAAACAACCAAGAATCTAAATCATTGGACCATCCTGAATAAAAAAGGACGCCTCAACCGGCGGACCGAACACTCAGAGTAACGACGGTCGTTGGCACACGCAGCCAATCATTTGGGTCCTATAGCTGAAGTGGAAATCTGGATTGAGAACCTGGAACCCTCTACGGCCTCGGAGGTTTA